TTGTTATATAAGGATCGCTGGGAGTATATATGTGATTCGAGATTGATTGTTAAAGAGGGATTAGGGATACAGGATATGATGGAGCGGTACGGCTTAGGGTAATTTTTGCTGAAGTTCAATTAGGCTATTTGTCGTCTTGCATCACCACATAGAAATAATATTCTTGTTGGGAATGCTTTAATACATAAGGAGTATAAGAGAAGGTGGTGTGTAGTTAAGGATCTTCGAGATATCTATGTACGCTTCAATCAGGCGGTGTCGTGGTACGATCGATACAATATGAGTCGTAATAGTATATTATATCATAAGTGGTTGAATTATTTATTCGTTTTGAATCTTAAGCAATTCAATATCGATATCTAAAAAAAAAATACTCAAATCCTATAAACACTCTCCGGAATTATCATTTTTCGCCTTTCAATTGTAAGGAAATCTTTGATTTTGTTATACAAATATGAAATGAATATTTCTAATCGATGGGGTTGTAGCATTTCCTCATTTTGTAATAGGAAACAAAATGCGATATGATAAAGTTAATAAATTAATCGATTTCTTGTTTTTGTGGGGAAATGATAAAGAACGTTGTGATTGAACTCATAAGCTATATCGGATTATCTTACAAAGAACTTTTGAATTAATCAAACAACGACACCCAGGAAACAGAGAAGCAAAGTTTTGGTTAAAAGAGTTTTTGTATTTCGTGCGACTGACACATTAGATCCTCCCTTATCCAATACATTTAAATCTTATTGTATCAATGAAGACGAATTATAATACAAATCTCAAAAGACAAATAATGTAATTCTCATTTGTTTATACTAATTTTAAAAAAGTTGAGCTTTCTTTTAAAGTTTATTTGCAAACCCTTTATAATATTTTATGGTGCGTATTGCGGGTGAAATTTGGGTTTGGTAGAAATCATGCATAGAAAGCTGATGATCTTATCTTAACATATAATAGGCAAGGAATAGATTTATATGAATCAAAGAAATCTTCTCAGTTTTGGGTGGTAGGGAGGTGTAGTATTAAATCGAAGGGCTATATATCAATATAGAAAAGAGGAATACTATCAAAATTAAAGATGATAAAGAATATTCATCAAAAAAGCTTGGATGAATTAGAGGGATTGATGATTGCTCTTAGGGTTCAATATGCTCATTGTAATATTCGAAATGATGAAGGTGATAGTAGTTTTAATAATGATTCTGAATTGGATATTGATGATAATAAAGCAATAACTATATTTGTTCGCAATTATAATGATAATAGGGCTCGAGTTAGCACTGGCAGTGTCTTTACAGCATCAAGTAGTATATCATAGAGTAATATTGAAACCCCCATTTTTGAAATCATCAATGTATTTATAGAAATAAAGTTAAAGTTACTATATTGAGGGAATTAGAATAAAGTAATAATAAAAGGATTTTAATAATAAAATAAGAGATTAAAGATAATATAATATTGATAAGGTTCTAGTAATAAAGTAAGAGGTTATAGAAAAAATTTAAAGAGGTTTTAATAATAAAATAAAACTGCTAAGTTTTTAAAGAACGGTAGTCGGTATAGAGGTTTGTTACGGGAGCTGCCTCTAGGGTCACGTGGAAGTGGCTAGAGATCTCTCGAGGTGGTTGAGACTAAACTTCAAGTAGGAATTCAATAAGGTTGTAACTGGTTGCAATTCTCGTAACTATAGTAATGAAACTAATGATTGTTCTTGAGCACGAAGCTTTACTTTGTAATGAAACCCATTCCTTATATAGGCCTTTATACTGAAGTCAACCGATAAGTCGATTGGCAAATCAATCGATAAGTCGATCGGCTTTTGATTACATAACACTTATCCCGTGATTCCTGTTGTCCTAGCTTGTCCTTTTGTCCTGAAACCTAATCCTCTGGGACATTATTAATCTTAGTGAAGCCTTCTTGCTTACTGTGTTCTATCTTTCCTAGAACCTATTGTCCTGAGAACTATATTCTAGGTTCCTAGGGTATTCTATAACTAATACTATATACATGCCTGAAGCTTTCCTTGAGTGCCCAGTGTCCCCCGGTATACTGCAGCTGAATCACTGAGGCCTATAATACCATTATAGCCTATAAGTCAGTGATTCTACAGCCTATTACTAACCCGTTGTAACAAGGTTGTATAATATTTCGGAAAAGGAAAGCAAAAAGGGGAAATTGAATTTTTAAAAGATATAATATAAAATATGGGTGATTGAAGTATATTAAAAAGGGTGTATAGGGTAAGGGTAAGGGTAAGGGTTAGGGTGATTAAAAATAGATTTGGGAATTTATAAATAAATTAAAGATTTTTATAAAAAAAATAAAAAAATTGAAATTTAAAATTAATAAGAGAATTAAAGTAATAATAATTAGAATTGATATATACAAAAATAGAATTATAAATTAAAAAGTAAAAATATTATAGAAATTAATTATAATAAGAAGATTATGATAAGAGGATTATAATTATAGAATTAGATTTTTATTTATTTATTTATATTAATTAATATTTGTTCTGGATCTCTCTAAGGGTATTTAGACATGCTAAGATAGAAATTATTTAAACAGCATAATCGTTGCAATCGAATTTAGCAATTTAGTATCAGTACTAAAGGCTATTCGCTCCTCTACAAATACGATCTACTTCTTTTTCCAGAAGGGTATGTCTGATCCGGATTATTGTTAGGGTAGAGCTTGATTTGATACAAATCAATGTCAGTCTTATTGTGGAAGAAGGGAATAAAAATTGATATTGATATTGATGTATATTTAAAACAGATAGCGGAGATTAGGGGTACTAAGAAGATTAGAAGAGAAACATATCAGATATATATCTTTATATATGAGATCGATCATATCAACAATAATAATACATAACTCCAAACCTGAACAATTTGAGTCTATTACCTAAACACCTAGAATATATTACTTAAATATCTTATCTAAATAATTTGTATACTGTGAACAATATTATTCATTATCGCTGCAACCCTAGAATTAATAAATAATCCGCTCGAAAATATACCAATAATTAAAGCAACTTGTAACTTCTGTAATAATTATCTTGACAATGGAGGTGCTGACACAACAGAAGAAAAAAAGTATGGTTTTCTCAAATGGTATCGCATCATCTACATATGTACAGGTAATTGTTTAGTTAGATATACGCTTAATCTTGATTGTATATTGTTTTTTTTTTATTTTAAAAATAAAGTATTTGAAGCTGTTGGTATCAACTTGGTTGATAAGTGTAAGTACTTTAGTCTATTATGGTTGTATTCGTTCTTGATCATTATTATCTATGGGAAGCTAGTATTTAATATAGTAGAAGTGCTAGCGCTAGTGTATATGCTAGTGCAATATAGTGCCCTCTTTTGATCACATGATCGATATCCCGACAGAAGCTATATTTGATGTTTGTAATCAATATATATTTGATTGCTTGGATCAATATAAGGTTGAGACAAGCTTTTCTCACCAAAACCATAAGTCCACAAAACCTGACATACAGATCTCTCAATCTAAAAGATCATTTAATTCTGATTCGAAATGTAAAGTCCTGACTCAAAACGATTCAGAGTCCAGTAACATTATCTTGAGTATTGTTTTAATTGATTGGAAGAAAATGCTTAATCAATAAGATATATAACTGCTCTCGTGCTTTACCGTCTTTTAGAAATGGTAGGCGGTTAGTTTGATACGTGCTTCAATAAAAATCAATTGTAGTATATACTCTATATTATAGATTAGATACGTTTTTAGTAAATTTGATATATTATAGCTAGTTAAGTTATATGATTATTGTCGAAATGCGGATAAGTATATACTCTCGATATGCAATCATTAGATTCAATCATCTCGGGTATTTGTTTGATTTTCGGAATGTTATTACAGAACGAAGAACGGTAAATGGATATTATTCACAATGCTATTCATTGTATACAAATTACATAGCGACGGAACTCTCCTTTTAACTTGATATCCTGAAATTAAATGAGTTTAAAATCTGAAGCTTACTAATAAGGGTCTCAAGATGAGCACGGGGCAGCGGGATGTTTAGTGATCGCAACTCGAGTACGGTTAGAGTTAGCTCTTCTCATTAAGCTTTTCTGCATAATAACCTTAAATACCTTAAGTACAAGAGTAATTAGAATTAGAGTTGAGAAACCTTGATCATCGCACAGTCATTCTTTTTATAGGTGTTTGTAGTCAGCTAACCTCATTAAATTAAAAAATCTCGTACACTCAAAACCCTTCAAAAGTATAAACTACTATCTAAGTAAGTGTATTCGAGAATATTGCTCAGTTTGTCTGGAGTTGATAGGTAATGAAAGTTAAATCGATGAAGATTATAGGACGATCTGTTTATCACAAATATGTTCAAGGATCTTACTTGATTATTAAATGTTTGCGGAGATCAATTGATATGAATACGTGATTTCGAATGTACTTTATTATAACTAGATATGCAAACAGTTCTATCGCTAAGAAATCTGGAGTACTCCTTTAATAGGCTAAGATTTATGGGCTGGAATATGCATTGGAGTTTTGAATAGCGAAATGAGTGATATAGCCAAGCATTCTGGGGACAACTTATTCATTCATCAAGACTTTAAGAATCCAAGTATATTGTTTGTAGTGAACAGAGTGATTATTCGCCAAGAGCATAGCCTTTGGGTATCCTTTTTTCTCGTGTCGAGATAATGCTTTACGGAATGGAGATATTGGAGGGCAGAATGTCCGATTCTTGATGGGATTCTAGACAATATAGTTAGATAGATCAATAACATATAAGAACATGGAAAGTCTCGAGGTTTTCGAATATTATCTACTCATCTATTCATTTACTCATTCACTTATTCACTTATTCACTCATTCACTTATTCACTCATTTACTCATTCTCTCATTTACTCATTTATTCATTTACTCATTCATTTATCCATTTATCCATTCGTTTTCACAATATAGTTTATAGTCAAGTATATTAATCACTATGGTTTCAGTCAAGGCTCTCGCTATCCTCTTATTCTTTGTTATTGCAGTTGATGCCGCAGGGGTTATTGGCAAAGCTGAAGGTTTCGTTGCTGCAGCTATTGGTGGTGGAATTGCTGCTGTTGTATCTCCAAAAGATCTCAACGAACTTGTCAACTGGCTCTCCGATGGTGTTGTCCGTACTATTGTTCTTGACAAAACCTGGGATTTCACAGGTAGTATGAAATCAAAAACCGAAAAGGGTTGCATACCCCTGTCCAACACATGCACCAATGGTGCTGGTCAGGATTTAGTCGATATCAATGGCTGGTGTGAACAGGCTGCAAATGCCAATCAAGCTCTTGCCAAGCCAACTATTATTTATGATGTCGCCGGTATTCCTCCAAATGCTATCAAGCTCGGTTCTAACAAATCCATTGTTGGAGTTGGATCTGCTGGAAAGATTAAGGGTAGAGGTTTCTACATTGCAGGTGCTAAGAATATCATTATCCAGAACGTTGAGTTTGTTGAGATGAACCCCAAGTATATTTGGGGTGGAGATGCTATCTCCGTTGATGGCACAGATCTTTTGTGGATCGATCACGTCAAGATCTCCAGAATTGGTCGTCAATTCATTACTATGGGTCCAGGTGCTTCCAACCGTGTCTCCATTACCAACTCTGAGTTCGATGGTTTTACTCTTTGGTCTGCTAAGTGCAACAATCACCATTACTGGACATTGTACTTCACTGGATCCCAAGATTCTGTTACTTTCAAAGGCAACTATATCCACAATACAAGTGGTCGTGGACCCAAGGTTGGAGGTTTGCATTCATCAGTCAAGTTAAATGTCTTTCTTTAAGCTGCTAATAACTATTGGTTAGATATTGCAGGAAATGTATTTCAAATTGGTGAAGGAGCAAAAGTACTTGCTGAGGGCAATATTTTCGAGAAAGCAAATACATTTGTTATTTTCGATATTCTTAGCAACCCTTTTTGGTCTTCAAGCAGTGGTGTTGTAGGATGTGCTTCGGCCTTTGGTTGTAACTGTCAAGCTAATAGCCTTGTGTCATCTGGATCTTTTGCTGGTTCAAACATTGATGTTTTGATAGCTGCTAAGGGAATGTTTCTTGCTTCTGTTGCTGATGTTGGAACTACTAAGGCTAATGTTCTTAAGAATGCTGGTGTTGGAAAGATTTAAGTGATAAGTTGGAGAGGGATAGAAAGAAGAAATGATAGAAGGAGGGGTAGCAAGGGTAACAAAAGGGTTAACGAAAAGAAAGAGTATGATGGAAATAATCTATCTCTTATACCGAACTAGTGGTTCCGTGAACCACCATTTTTCCGGCGGGGGAATCAGTCCCCACTAATTTGGGTTGTCGTAGAACATCATTTCATGGAGTTAGTATTATTATAGAGTTATTTAATATCTTTTTTTTCCTTCAAACATTCAAACAACATTTATGGTAGCTTCGAGTTAGGAATTCGAATCTTTAATTAGAATTGTGTGACGAACCGGCCACCAGTGGGTGTACGGACTGACGGGACACTGCAAAAGTTGATTTGTGAATATCTCTTAATATATAAAATCCTATATCTTAAGAATTTAATAATTGTTTATTAGAAATGAAACAATTAGAATGTGAATTTTAATATCAAACAATTGAAGAATGAATTTGTTAAGAATTTCAAAAGTTGGGGAAGTGTCCCGTCAATCCATGCACCCATTGGTGGGCCTTAATGCTTGATTAATCATCCTTTTACCCCACCAGGTAGAATAAAACATCCTCGCTTGTCTTTTGATCCACTCACCTGGATAGGACTCATAAAAGCGCTTTCAGGTCCTCTCTTTATATAGTAGTTTATTACTCTTTAGTATTAAGAATTGATCTATCTTACTTCTATGCTGGGAACATACTGTTATTACTATCCCTGAAGCTCGCTTCTTTATTATAGGCTATACAGTTCCAAAAGGAATAATTCAAGATCTTGAAGAAGAAAATTAAATAATATGATTTTATATTAGCGTGGTTTAAAACGAGTGTATCACTTATTGTGTATACAAAATTCATTTGTGTATGATTATAGACTACATACTTATTTATATACTTAGGTCTCAGTGATATATAATATTGTAATTCAATCAAGTTTTTTAAGATAATTATAATTAATACCAAAACAAAACCAATAGGTTTGTCAACTACTTAAATCAAAAATATATTTTAGTGTATAAATGATATTTAAACTTTGCTACCAAAAATTGACAATTCACTTTATAGTGATTCACTTTATAGTGATTCACTTTATAGTGCCTTCTCGCTAAATATAAAGATATTCTCATATCTTTGTTGTAGTTATAGCGAGCTAGCTAGTTAATGAAGAAATTTCCATAGTATATCAATTGTGAAGAACTGTTATAAAAGGATTCAATTCTACCTTAGAATCTAAGACTAAAGAAGGAAGAAAAGAACAAGAAGAGAACTGTAAGAGCTCCGGAGTATATATACCAATGAGTCACGTGCTAGGCTAAGGTTCTAGAAGCTAGATGATTAAGGGACCCGAAAGGGACCGAATCGTCACATTAACTTATTGAAACATTATTTTGAATAGCAAATCGAAGATAGTATGTATAAACTCGTAGAATCTGGAAAAAATCTCAATTCAATTAACTAAATGCTAGTACTACAAAAGTTTTTAGGGTTACAAAGACTGAACAATCTATAAGCCTAATACTAATAGAGATATGAAAATAAAACAAAAGATTAAATGGCCACCTAGTATATATGTTTAATAACAGGCCTATATTGAAATATATTTTTAATTAATCCTTTTCTAATTACTATATCGAAAAGTAGATACTTTAAAGCTCTCTAGTTGTAGATCAAATCACCAGTATTTCTATCATAATTACAGCATTTGTTATATATATAGGAAAGCTAGCAAAATATTAATATTATTTTCTATTAGATAGAAACGATTTCTTACATTAATAAATCCACCCTTAGTATGAGTATAGAATTGATTATTTCCAATCATATACATACAATCATAATCAATATGGAGAAAACCAAAAGAAAGTTTAGCACTGACTTTTCCGACAATTCCAGTAGGATTCTTAACACCATATCCCTTGTTATAGCAGATAGCAGCAGGGTATTTCCTGTAATCTGGGTTTCTAGCCCACATATCGCGAATGATTGCTTGAGAAAATTCCTCACGGGCCTGGAAAATATTATTAGTATTATTTCATATATCAAAAGCTCTTTGAGGATACTATATTTATAGAGCAACTTACTTGATTCCACTCTCCAAGGTTTTTAATAGTATCGCCACCATGCTCAATAGCCATCTCGGTCAAAAGCTGAATACCCTTTATAGTAGCCATTCCAATCACTTTTATCAGTGCTCCAACACGCTTCTGAAGAGCTTGTGTGGGTTCATCATCCACCTGTGCAACCAATGTTCCGGAGGCATCAAATTTTCCACTAAAATGGAATTCGCTAGAATCAGGAATAATACTATTAAAAGCAATGGAAATTGGGGCATTGGCTGAAATTGTAACTACTTCTGAAAGAGTGGCAGATTGTATAATAGCTGTGCAAACAAGAAGAGTAATAACTGAGAACTTTATTTTGATAGTAATAAGAAAGTAATTTTTCTTTAAAAAAAGTGAATGAATTCGAAAACGAATGATAAATGAATGTATTTGATTTGTTTATAGAGTGAGTATAAACGAATATATTGATAATATGATAATCGAATTTGAGGGAATAATAATAAAGGTTTATATACTCTTCAATTCTCATATAAATTTCATTATCTCATCTCTCTAGCTTACCTTATTTGTTTATCTTGAACGCTAAGATTAAAATAGAGTTTCTTCTTATTTTCTTCATTCTATCACCTTAAAGAATCCAAAAAACTTTAATTATATGGCAAAATAGTATCTTCTCCTTCTTAGCAATGAAATTCAGATAAGAAAGAGATTGGCCTGTATCTTGGCGATAATGCTTGCGAATTTTTGTGATGAATTTCCACAGAAGAGTGAAGAGTTATTTTTATTGCGAAAGTGGTTTCACAATAGCTCGATAGCCTAATGGCCCGTGCCTTTTCATCTCATCCATCTCGTGATTCTTTATAGGAAAGATAGTATTGAACCAAATTAAGAGAAAATTCAACTTAGTTAGAATTTCGACAATTATATAGAATATCTCTTTTCTGGACAAGTTTGATAATATTGTATAGTTTTTTTATTTACAATTCTTCACTAGCACCTTGGATTTTGGCAGTGTTTGCCGGTTCACTACGCCTAAAGCGTTTGATGAGTGGTGATCTGATCTAGTCTAATCAAGCTTAAATTATAAGCCACCACTAAAACAAATAGCTAGAATGAAGCCGCACTATTCCCATTACACTAACCTCAAAATATAATCCATCTAGATACGAAACTAATTATAAAGAACTTCAAATATTTGGTAAGGCTTTGATATCTTATAATACAATACCTAAATATAATAGAATTTATTCATCCATTTGAAATCCAAATTGTAAAATATTATCTTGTATATAATCTTATCAGAAATAGACAGTAAGTTACACATAAGAAGTGATATATTGAAATATATATATCAGATCTATATATCCAGGAAGTTCAAAAAAGGAGTTTTATAGTGGTATACACATACCACACACATACTACACATGTGATTTCCAACATCCCCCCTATAATAGGAATCTACTATCTAAATCATATAAACTCTATATATATACATATTTGTAAAGAGCTTTATTAACTCCTGCAACAATACCAACACTTCAGTATTGCCTGTGGTGTTTACATCTCCAGTGAAGTTCGATAACCCTACGATCTAATATCGTATCGCAGTACAAGAGTATTCTTTTATCTGAATCCTATTCTCCTTGCCCATATTAGGTGAAATCCAATCCACTATAAAGAGATATAATAGTACGAATTCGATCTGTTTTCGTGAAATCCCCTTTGTGTATACACTAATGAGTTGCTTCGGATTCGTTATCTTCGGATCGTAGGGTTACCTTTTTAATATAATAAACGACCCAAATCCAATCTCATATGAACAGACCTCCAGCTTATCTGTTACCCCACATGGTTTTCTTAAAATGGTCAATTTGGTCAATTTGGTCAATTCATAATAAATTGACCAATTCGATCAATTTGGATAATTTTTGATAAATTCGACAGATCTGGTGAATATAGTGAATCTGATGAACCTGATGAAATTGTTGAAATAGGTGTATTTGGTGATTTTTATCAATTTGGTCAATTTGGTCAATTTGATCAATTTGGTCAATTTGGTCAATTCATAATAAATTGATCAATTCGACCAATTTGAACAATTTTTGATAAATTCAACAGATCTGGTGAATATAGTGAATCTGATAAACCTGATGAAATTATTGAAATAGATGTATTTGGTGATTTTTATCAATTTGGTCAATTTGGTCAATTTGATCAATTTAATCAATTTGAGTTAAATCAATCAAATCGACCAAGATGACTAATTTAACCAAATGTAATTATTGACTCTCTTTGATATATTCGTGTTTAGTATTCCAGATTCAATCCTAAACCTTTTCTATAAGTTATAAAGCCAGGGTATGTGAGCTGTTTTGTAAGAATATCGGCTGTCTGTTCAGTTCCTGGAATCCATACGATATGTAGTCTTTTGATGTTAATCATGTCTTTTCGAATGTAGTGCTATCGAATATCGATGTGCTTTGCCTTACTATGGAACTTATTCTTTTGTATTCAATCAATTTCACTAGTGTTGTTACAGTATAGAATTGGAATAAAAAACCTTATTAACTTCTGTGACAATGTCAATATTCCAGAATTGCCTATGGTATCTACATCTCTAGTGGAGTTCGACAGCTTTATGATTTAATATCGTATCGTAGTACAAAAGTACTCTTTATCTGAATCCTGTTTTCCCTGCCCATATCAGGTTGGATCCAATCCATCTAGCAATACAAATTCAATCTGTTTTTGTAAAATCCTTTTCATATGTATACCAACGGATTGCTTCGGATTCGTTACCCTTCGATTGTAGGGTCACCTTTTTAGTATGGTAAACCACTTAAATCTTATTGTATGTAAACAGACCTCCAGTTTATCTGTTACTCTATATAATCTTCTCATTTTGGTCAATTTGGTTAATTTGA